CGTCCATATCATCGGGGCAGTAGTATCTCACAAAGCCGAGGGCTTCCATCCTATACTCAGTAATATAGGTTGTTATGCTCCTCGGACCGCCCTTGATAAAAGCTTCCACTTGCCCACTAATCTCGGCATTCCACGGAGGATTATGCAACTCAAACAGGCCGCTATGACCCACAGAAGGGAAGAAACCGCCCGACCAAGGTTAACAAAAACAAACTTCGCCTTCCAACCATTGATAGACGAAGGGATATCTGTAAACGTCCTCCTCTTGGGAACCTGCTGTAATGCAGCATAACCGGCACAATTCTGATGGCTCCCTCGGCCTATTCGGTATAGGTTCGTGAAGAGTGCAGTCGTCGGCGAGAAGCCCAACTCACCGCAACGGATAAGGAAACCAACAATCAGCGAGTAACTGTTAGGGGTCAACAAGGCCGGAGGTAGACTCACCATATCGAGGTATCCCTTAATAAAAGGATGGAGAGGGAACCGCAAACCCTTCGCGAAGCTCATTAGATATATCCCAAAATAACCCAAAGGGGGGCTCAGCACGTGATCCGTCGGCTTCGGCGCCCGCACTCGTCCATACGGCCCCACGTACAACTAAGCAACGTGGTACTCGTCGAGGGTCCCTTCCGGCCGAATGATATACAAATTGCTGAGGTCGAGTTGCGAGTGCCCCTGCGGTGCCCCATTGCGCTGCTTCCGCCGATACGGTTTCTTCGTCCCTGGAGCCGAGGGTCCCTCCCCTGCTACAGAAGATACAGGAGGGGGGCAGGGGATATTAGCCGATGAAGAGGCACCATCCCCCCTCAGAGGCGAACTGGATGTCGCTTCGTCCTCACCAGAGTTCTGCGCGCCAGCGTCGTCGCTCAAACGTTTCTCGTCTACAGAAGTACGGTAGTCGGCTGTATGCTCCATCTCAAGTTCGAAAGCTTCCACTATCCGAAGGTCAACCCCAGGAGACGTGCCTTCGTCGTCAAAGGGCCAATCCGTCTCGTCCAAAGAAGCCGTCAAATCAACAGGGGAGGGAACGCTACGGCCGTTAGGGAACGGCATAACACCTAAACCTATCCCTAAGGGCGGTTTTTCGGATCTAAATGAATTTTCCTACAAACACTAGATCTTACCCCCAGGAAGCAAAGTATGAGAAAATAACAAAGAACAAGGAAGAACTGACCTTTGAAGATATGAAGGTCTGAGAAAAGACTGATGAACACTTGAAGAGACCTCGGGAGCTTTCTCTCTCTAGAAATTTCAGCAGCAGTTCGACTCAAGCAAATGCAAAATGAGGGGAAGGCTTCGGAGAAAGGGGTATTTATAAACACCCCTCCAACGGTCACTACACGTGGCAACCTCCAATTGGCCACCTCAACGGCGCCTCTCCTAGAGCCAATCAGCGCTTGTCTTTCCACATTCCACTCTAAGGCCACCACTACGGCCCAACAGGCCCTGAAACTAGGGTAGGCACCGGCCTACTCACTCAAAACCAAGGAGAAACTCGCTACGGCCCAATTTTACCAAAGACATGGCCGCATCAGCAAAACACGCTACGGCCCCAAAGCAACCCCAAGAACCACAAGTATCGTTTGATGTGCTACTCACGCGCACATCGTTTGATGATGACCCTGGTATTGCGGCCTTCGTCCAAGGGTTCTCCCACAGGGTTACCTTGGACAGGTTCGCCTAAGGGTTGGACTCACGACTAACGCATGGGGCGCCGTATTGGCTCGAGAACATCATGACTCCCTTGTGCCTCAAATATTCTTCGGCCAAAGGAGTGGGGGACTGGGGGACTCTATCGGCTACAAGAAAGGAAACAACATAAAACGGGAGCGCAACGGCCTTATTGGTGCGCTACAGCTCACCAATAAGCCACAATTCACCCCAGAAGCACTGAGGATCGCATCGGCCCGCATCAAGGCTATAAAATTTCCAAGCGCGCTTCATCTACATCAAGTAAGGGAACCGCTTCGTCCAAAATCGAAGCAGGAACTCTTCGGCCATCAAGCACCTCAGGCTCACGCAGCGGCCAGCCAGAAAGGAACAAGTACTCCCTTTCGCTTCGGCTCCACCTCAGCTCAGAGAGTGGGGGACTCCTGATAGAGTATATGGGCCTGGACCCCATGGCCCACATACTCAAGTCAACGATGACCAGAAGAACATCCACGTGGCCCGCATCGGCCAAAGGAACCGAACCGGCCCAGGAAGCACGCCTGGACTCCCGGGGCCCGCATCGGCCCATGGACCGCATCGGCCATGAGACCGCATCGGCCAGAGTTCACCCTGGCAGAATGCATCTCTCTACTTTATTTACTAAGTATTGTACACAGCCCATTAATGGCCCTATTTCGCCCAAAGAAGGCATGATTATTGTAATGGGTCTCCTAAGCCCATGGCTAGGAGCCCAAATCCACATTTTTACCTATAAATAGACCCCTTGGGGCTAGTTATAGGGGGTTGAGAAATACAATTGCTCACTTTCTCTCTCTAGCTCTCACTTCTCTCTAGAATTAATACTCTATCAGTTATAATAATTAAAAAATTATTTCAAAAGTGCGTATTATTCTTGGCTAGTTGGCTCATGGAAGATTGTTTGTATTATTTAAAGTTATTTTCTTAATAACTTTTGATGATTATAATGGATTGGAAGAAAGCCTAGGTAACCTTTTCAAGAAGCGCAATTGAGTGTTCGAACGTTGTATTTGAGTCAATTTTTAGTCAATATGATTGATCATCCATTGTATTATTCCAGGAATGGTCAAAAAGGTGTCTATGAAGATCACCCATGAGTACGGAAACCTTTTGCTAGACGAGGGCTGTAATGCTGTTGCTGGGAAGAAGGATGTTAAGGGATCAATTGATGTACCTCCAGAACTTGATCCAAAGACAGTTTACTCCCTCTTCATGAGAATGACGGATGAGGTAGTGCTTTGATGTTTACTATTTGTATTTTCAATGTTTAGTGTTTATTCTGTAGTTAGTTTCTCTTTAGTCTTTAATCCTAGAATTTTTCCTTGAAATTTATTTTGGACTGCCATATTACACCTAGCCTACTCTTAATTTTTTTATATTCTTGTGTTTATATGGTGCTAATGTCGTTGTTACATGATAAAATCACACTGATTACTTTTTCTATCTACTTATCAGTTTTCTCGTTAATACACTTTGGAGAAAAATCAACAGCTATTAAGACTGGAATGTTCAGTTTGGTGTATAAACTATGCAAAGAAACTATTGAAGCTTTTGGAATAAAAGTGAGAGAAAGCAATAATATTTAAGAGACAAGATTATTTTAGGAAAATAAGAATGTGCACACTCTCAGGATGTTCATACAGGAGTGAATAGTAACCTTAATCCACGACACCTGGTCAAACAGTATATTTTTGTAGAAGTTTTGAACTATAACTTCTCCTTCATAATGCAACAAGATACCCCCTCCGTCCTTTAAAACTTTGCCATCTTTCCTTTTCGGGATGCCCCAAAAACGTTGTCACTTTCCCTTTTAATCAACTAATTTGTGGTTCCTGTTACTTCATTCTCCTTTGCACAAACCTCAACCACACGGTTTTTACTTTGTTATTCTCTGTGCCGGTCAAACTTGGGAAATTTTTAATGGACGGAGGGAGTATGATATAAGACACCTACGGTGCTCCTGCATATCACTTTGGCTAGCAAAAAATGAAATTTATTCTTAGCATTATGTCATAGTCTGTATCTGGTCTTTTTTGTTCTCTAATTCTAGTTCCTTTTATTTCCTTATTGTGTGTAGGACTGCGAATTGCTTCGTCTCACTGACAGGCCAGAAAATCTTCTTGTTACATGTATCCCTGTGCCACCAGTTGCAATCCGCCCTTCTGTATTTGATAGTAGAGTAAAAAGGTTCATTTAGCTCAAAAATAAATATGGGATCTACTAATAAAGATCTAAAGTTATTAAGAAAATAACTTTAAATAATACAAACTATCTTCCATGAGCCAACTAGCCAAGAATAATACGCACTTTTGAAATAATTTTTTAATTATACCAACTATTCGAATGTTCAACAAAAAAGATACACACCAATTTTTCAAATAAAGTTTAGTCAATGAACTTTTCAAAAACTCATACCAGAATATCAAATAAGTGACCCCATCACCAAATACTCCATTTATTAGATGGTTTGGTATCAGTTTTTGATGTCTTACATGACTAGATTTATTTTCCGAAAAGTGGCTCCATATTATTTTCGTTATATATTCAAATAGTTAGTATTATTAGAAATCATTTCCAAAGTATGTAATATTATTGGTTTATGAATGATAATTGATATTATCAGTTTTTCCCCCAAGCTATTATCGTGCAAAATACTGAGTTGTCATTTCTTATTCCTTTGTAAGAAGGTTGAAACATACTTGGTGTAAAAATATGCCTCTGTTTTTTGCATGGATTTAATTTTTTAACGAAATTGATTGACACTTCAAATTTCATGCCACCGACCTGACCTAGTTGGGAATTGGGATTATGTTGGTCATGATGATGAACATACTATTACATCAACATACACTACTATACAAAAATGCTAATATCAATTTCATTCTGTGTCTTTATGTTTCAGCAATGAGAATGACATCACTGAGAGGCTGAAATTTATTATCCTAGCAAATGCAAATCTTCAAAAAGAGTTATCTGATTCAAGTCATCGCAGAAAAATTTTGGTATGACATTATTTTGATGAGTTTTCTCTTATTCATGGTTATTTTATTTTTCGAGGATTAGTTAAAGTTAAAGTTAATTCTCCTGTAGCAATTTAGTATTAGTAATTAAAATCTACATTTAAAAAAAACCTCCAATCTTGAAAACCATATTTGAATTTGTTAAAAATTTGATTTGATATATAAAGTAAGATAATAAAAGAGAGTAGGATTGACCAGTTAATAGTTTCTATGGTGTATAAAATGCGTCATAGACTCAGTGGGACTACTATACATTTGAAGATTTCGTTCCATTCACCCATAGGTTGTAGGCCGGGGATGGAGACGGTTGAGCGGACAGATGACGGCGATGAAGAGCAAATAAGACGGACAGATGGATGGAGATGAAGAGCGGATAAGATGATGGACAGTTGGCGATGAAGAGCAGTTGGGTCTGTCGGGCGACGACTCTGAAACATGGACTGACCGACATCCTCATATCACCCAACACACTTTCACGCCCCAGCCCCAAGGAAAGGAAGGAAAACAAAAATGGAGAAGAAAATTTTGTAAAAATGTGAAATTCAAGTAGACCCTCTCATGTTAGAAGCCAATTCAGATCCGATTCAAGTAAGGGGAAATTCGAATTCGATTTTCCGATTTCATTGTTGAAATCTATAGGTGGCATGAAGGAGGGGATGAAAGAAAAAAGACAAAAAATAATGAAAAGAAATTCGACCATGAACTGTTAATGCAAAGCTTACCAGCGACAAAGAAGAAAAAGAGGAAGGGAAACAATAAAGTGGAAAAGATAAGAGAAGAAAAGAACCAGGGAAGAAGGATGCGGAAGATAGAGTCGCGCAACAAGGAAGAAGAAAGAAAAAAGGGATAGAAAAAAAACAGAAATAAAGAAAACAAACAAACGCCAGTAAAAAACTGCCATGTGTAGGGATGACCTGCTGAATGGGTTCATGCAGGTCAACGGACTGTTTTGGGATGGCCTTCCCTATAATTTGGATTATATTAGAATAACTCATACTTGGGATTAATATGGGAAGATCTCTAATTGTTGGGATTATTAATGTAAATTTTTCCAATACAGCCATGAAATGATTTCAAGCAGAATATAAGAAAGTTAATAAAAACAGAGATATTGATAATAGACCACCTACAAACATGAAATAGCAAATCCACCAAGCTAGATGACATACAGACTTTACTAATCATTACATGCATAACAGAACGAAGTAAAGGTATCAAACAAAAAACATTTCACAGAAAACTTGCTTTCTTTTAATCCATCACCTGTTCATCCCCAGCCTACAACCTATGGGTGAATGGAACGAAATCTTCAAATGTATAGTAGTCCCACTGAGTCTATGACGCATTTTATACACCATAGAAACTATTAACTGGTCAATCCTACTCTCTTTTATTATCTTACTTTATATATCAAATCAAATTTTTAACAAATTCAAATATGGTTTTCAAGATTGGAGGTTTTTTTTTAAATGTAGATTTTAATTACTAATACTAAATTGCTACAGGAGAATTAACTTTAACTTTAACTAATCCTCGAAAAATAAAATAACCATGAATAAGAGAAAACTCATCAAAATAATGTCATACCAAAATTTTTCTGCGATGACTTGAATCAGATAACTCTTTTTGAAGATTTGCATTTGCTAGGATAATAAATTTCAGCCTCTCAGTGATGTCATTCTCATTGCTGAAACATAAAGACACAGAATGAAATTGATATTAGCATTTTTGTATAGTAGTGTATGTTGATGTAATAGTATGTTCATCATCATGACCAACATAATCCCAATTCCCAACTAGGTCAGGTCGGTGGCATGAAATTTGAAGTGTCAATCAATTTCGTTAAAAAATTAAATCCATGCAAAAAACAGAGGCATATTTTTACACCAAGTATGTTTCAACCTTCTTACAAAGGAATAAGAAAGGACAACCCAGTATTTTGCACGATAATAGCTTGGGGGAAAAACTGATAATATCAATTATCATTCATAAACCAATAATATTACATACTTTGGAAATGATTTCTAATAATACTAACTATTTGAATATATAACGAAAATAATATGGAGCCACTTTTCGGAAAATAAATCTAGTCATGTAAGACATCAAAAACTGATACCAAACCATCTAATAAATGGAGTATTTGGTGATGGGGTCACTTATTTGATATTCTGGTATGAGTTTTTGAAAAGTTCATTGACTAAACTTTATTTGAAAAATTGGTGTGTATCTTTTTTGTTGAACATTCGAATAGTTGGTATAATTAAAAAATTATTTCAAAAGTGCGTATTATTCTTGGCTAGTTGGCTCATGGAAGATAGTTTGTATTATTTAAAGTTATTTTCTTAATAACTTTAGATCTTTATTAGTAGATCTCATATAATATTTAAGCTTCTCAGAAATAATAATTAGTACATTGCCAGTTATAATAGCCAGTTAGTACATTGTTGTACTTTATAATAGCCAGTTAGTACATTGTTGTCAAGCATGAACTAATGTCAATCCTGACTTCGTAAAACGGTTGCAGTCAGGTCCACTGACAGTTTAATTTTACAAATGGTGTTAGGTTCTTGATTGAGCACACAAGCTTATGAATGTACAACCTCAAAGGAGAGACGAGAATGAATATACTAATATGCACATCTACAGTAAAAACCCTAATGGCCACAACAATGCAACCAACTTGTAAAGTTTATGGTCATATTTACTTAAATGCCATGATTGATAAGGATGTACTAAATAATCAAAAGTCAACTATGGGACAAAACGCACATTTTCCTTGAATCAAATTTCACTTTTTTTATTTGACGAGTATCCAGCCTTCAATGTCCACGCACCTTCATGATGTAAAATGTAAAGAAAAGCCAAACATAAGGCTCATAGAACAAATGCATAGACCAAGTTTGGTGGGGGGGGGGGGGTCCTGTGTGTACCGCCGTGCATATTAGAAGTACCAACATTGCCACATAGTCACAGTCTCTCAATTACATAAAAGCGTAAATAAGTTTTTCAACCGTTGATGTATCCGCATCTGGAGCATAACTTCCCCTTACTACCGGATGTCATGGCGTTGCACTTTATCCCAACTTCTTTTAGCACCTCCCCCTTCTTCAAATGATCCAACTTTGTACTTCTCATTTTTCTTAGGAAGTCCCGGCAGTCATCATCTCCAAGAAGAATGCGAGAACAACCCTGAAAAATAAAAGGGAAAAATGTTGAAGAAAATGTGAGGCCATCAGGCCATGGATAAAATGTGAAACACTACCGAAATTCCGCATACAATTTTCTCATGCACCAGAGAAACCACCATAGTGTTCATGCTGAAGTTTGACATTCATAAAAATATTGCCAACACTCAGGTCAAATTCACTCCTCAAAAGCGCCATAATCTTGTAAAGTCTATTAATATATTGACAAATGAAATTCACGGATGCTCTGTTTGAAACATTTAAAACAACATTAATATATATATAAATGTATTTAAAAAATAAGAATCTTTTTTGGAACAAACATTAGTTCTAAAACAGTACATTTTTTGGACAGGGGAAAATTACTAACCAAGAATCCATTCAAAAAATAGCTCATGAACTTGCAAAGATATTCTTCAAAGCTGATGAGTGTGTTTTGCGTATAGATCACAGGGTGTTTTCTTAGATAACGGGAATTATCAACAAGCATAGCAAAAATACGGGAGTTTTGTTAGGTTTTCTAGGATTGAGGGATTCAGAAAGAGGGTTTCTGAATGGGATGATTGGGTGGGTTGGGAGGGGGTGGGTTGGCTGGGAGGGGAGGGGTTGGCAAACATGTGAAAATCCCATTTATTTATTATGTAATATAACTTTTTTATTTTTACTTCAAATTTTACAAAAAAAATATTGAAATTCATAATTTTTTATGATCTTTCTAATGACACCAATACTCATATATAAAATTTATTTATTTTTTTTTTTTAAGTTTCAACAGTAGAAAGTTTTCATATCAAAAAAAATTCCTGAATAGATTCAAGTGCTAAAGTTACGATCTCATTATTAACATAACTTTGTTTTGCATGTTTCAATTATTTTAAAAATGATATTTTATTTTAGCACTTGGATCTATTTAAGATAGTTGTTGAAACTCAACCACATACTGTCGAAACTTCAATTTTTTTTAAAACTTTTTATATAGAATATTGGTGTCATGTGAAAGATAATAAAAAGTTATGAATGTTGATATATTTTTATAAAAAATGGAGAACACATACATAAGTTACATCATTTAATAAAAATGGGGTTTTATATTTTACCCAACCCCCCACCCACTTCCCCCTACCCATGCGCCCCAGTCTTGGTTTTTTTTGCATTCGAAACATGGAATTCTGATTTTGTCCAATTTTTTGAAGTCCCGTGTTTTGGCGCGTGTTACAATAAGACCCGTGTTTTGAAAATTTCCTCTACATCATAGGTGTGAAGAAGGTATATGCGAAAAGCTAAAAAGCAAGACCATATAGATTAACCATCAACTGTTAAAGAATACTCTTCAGAACTAATGCAGCCGTGTTCAAAAGGTCCATCAACATCATGCAGTAACATTATTTTAAGTTATTGAGGTTGTGTTTATTTCTTTTAGTTGTAAATATGTACTGCATATGAACCCGCTGTTACGGATGCTTTTTTATGGGATTCAATACCGTAGAAGGAAACATATAGGCCAGAGAGACATTAGTTGAATGAGTAGTCTAGCACTCTAGTCTGATATTATATTTTACAGAGTATTATTTGTTGTTTCCTAAGATTTTAGAATTTCCCGTTCGAGGTTTAGTTAGATTGGGACTTGATCTTGTAAAAGGCACGATGCCTATTTATAATTGTTTCAGCAATAATAAAGAACATTCATCATTAAAAAAGGAGGGAATTACCTAAATAGGACAAAAAAGTAGCCCAAGAGCACAAATAGGATTACATCTTTTAAATCCCCCTTAGTAGGACTATTCATGTGTGTTTAGACAAATATATCCTTGTAGCTTTTAAAATGTCTTAAATAATAATAAAATCATAGAATATAAAACATAAAAAATAATAATAAAAAAATAAAAAAATATATAAAATATTTATAAAATCAAATAATTAAAACGTAAAAAAGGAGCCACCACCAGAACCACCTGCTCCTATCACCAGTTGGTGATCTGCCAATTATTAGTAAAAATGCCACAATAATGGCAGATTCAGTGAGAATTTTGGCATTATGAAGAGTAATAATGCCATTTTCTTGGCATTTTGAAAAAAAATGGCATAATTTTTACCGATCGGTGGTGGAGGTGCTAGGAGGCAATGGGAAAGGTATCCATTTTTTTTTATGGGGGGGGGTACTATTTTTTTATCAGTTTTAAAAAAAATCAAAAAGAAAATATTTTTTTTTATAAATATTTTATTAATCTTTATATTTTTTATTACTTTTAAACGATTTTTAATTATTTTATTATGAATTTAATACCCTTAGGTGTATTTAGGGTTGAAATCAATGTTTGATCATACCTGGAGGGAAGAAAAAAGTAGTAGTCCTATTTGTGCATTTCAAGTTATTTTTAGACCTAAAGGAGAAACTTAACGATTAATCCGGAGCGAGAGCTGGTCTCTCCAAACCTTCGGTCTTCCTAGGGCAGTCCGCCGCTAGGGTTTGATTTTCCAATTGTCGGCTTTGGCCGGTGATTTGCGAGGGGTAGAGGGAACGAACTTAGCCGGGAGCTTCTTCTCCGGTGGGGACTGGGTTTAGGCGTTCGCGTGCGACTTTGAGAGCAGACGGACGATATGCGTGGGGCTGGGTTTTTGGAGGAATTGGTTGAATCATACAAGAAATTAGCCATGCGGGATCAAGAGAGTGAACTGAATTTTGACGAGGAAATTGAGGAAGAAACCGTTGAAGATCAGGAACAACCTCATTTCCCGGCGGTGGGGGTTGTCATTACGGATCGGAATATCAGACTTTCTGGATTTCAGGAATTGATGACATCATTGTGGAGACCTGTGAAAGGTATGACTATCAAAGAAATTGGCGAACGCAGGTATCTACTAAATTTCAATCATGTTCTTGATATGAATAGGGTTATTGAGGAAGGTCATTGGCTTTATGAACGTGATTTGATTTTGCTTAAAGCGGTTCAACCTGATGATATACCTGAATCCATGAATTTGTTTGAGGCCAGCTTTTGGGTACAGGTTTATAATGCTCCTATAAAGTATAGGAACCTGAGATCTGCTAGAAGGATTGGTAATTTTATAGGCTCTTTTATAAAATTTGAGATGAGTGATTTTGATGGAAAACAGAGTTCCTATTTGAGAATACGGGTGAGCATGGATGTCCGTCAACCCCTGAAAAGAGGCACAAATCTGACGCAAGATGGAGTAAAGCACTGGGTTGATTTTAAATATGAAAAATTGCCCAGCTTTTGTTTTATCTGTGGTATTATTGGTCATTCTGACAAACTTTGTCCATTAGAGTATGAGGAAGGTTTTGTAACCGAAAAACTATACGGGGTGGGACTTAGAGCAGGTGGAAGGGTGAAGACCAGCCCTACAGGGCTTAATAAATGGTTGACTGACGGGGGTTCTAGCTCAGAGGGTTATGGAGGCCAGAGGAAGTCTAATCGTGGGGGAGAGCACACGACGACTTCCAAGGACCCATTGACTAAGAACGGGGGGGAGGAAGACCCATCTGGAGGGCTGGAGACCTGAAACGAAGACGTATGTGGGAAGACCAAGAGGAAGAAGGCATGTGGGTGCAGAGATGGCTCTCGACAGGCCAAAAAATGGGAAAGGGGCGGGTCAGCTAGCATAGACCCGCCGAGAATTTTCTGGTTGGTGGTGAAGATGAAGTTTGGCTTTGGTGTTTTTTTATTTGTCTGTTTTGTTTATTTTGATTCCAGATACATTGTGTTTTTTTGCTTTGGTTATTTCATTCACTGTAAGACTCTGGCATTAGGGTGGGGGGAGGAAGATTCTGCGGTAACCGTCTCTAGCTCTTTATTGCCCACTATTGGTCTAGCGAACTATACTGCTTTTTTTTTTAAGTGGTTAGCTCTCAGTCTCGGCCACGAGCGGATGATTATTTGTGGTTTTTCTCTAGTTTGTTTTCGTTGCTGAATGCTATTAATATGAATTAAGACTTCTTCGAGCAAAAAAAAAAGTTATTTTTAGACCTATACAGAGCAATTTCTGTTAAAAAAATATTCCCAGAAGTCTGGGGCTTCCCCCTCTGTGCTCTTCCAGCCACAGGCAAGAAGAGGAATGACCCTAGCAGGCAGGTTAAGACCTCACTTTTACGTTAACCTAACAGGCAAGAAGAGAGTAAGAAGATTGAAGCACGATGATAGCTTAGTGTTTTACACTTTTACGCAAGGTTTACGTTTTTAACTTGAGGTTTTACGTAGGTTTCAATTGTTTTACCCGACTATTAGATGGGCTAAGTGTTATTAAAGATATAGGCTAATTATATTTGAAAGTTTTAAACTAAAAAAAAAAGGCTGGTCAGCCTTTTCCGGATCAGGCGACCCAAGCGTGCGCCCCCTGTGCTTCATGCGCATCCTACACTTATGCTGCGCCTGACCCAGGAACGTGCACCTCCCCTTCTCCCAAGCGCTGGAGGCCCTGCTAGCTGCGCCTGGTGCGCTTAAGAACTGGGGCGAGCGCTTTTGACTACCTTGCACAGATCAAATGGATGTCATAAAACTGTCACAGAGAATACATCATTTAAGAATTGTGATACGGATTACACAACCACAACAATACTAACGGTCCAAAATCATGTACCTTGCAAATACACTTCAAAATGACCAAAATGTTTGGCAGATATCCAACATTGTAAACTGGTAACGCAAGTTTCAAGTATCCATAGTGACCAGGACAGTTTTTCAAACTTCCGCTGCATGTCTCACAAGCCTTTCCTTTGTTTGTAGGCCCCTGAAATTCAAAATAATGAGTGAGTTTCCAAAATAGTAAAATATCATTATAAACAAGTTATTGTCCGCCAAGGCGCCAATAATGGACATCACAATAGTATGGATAAGGCAACGTTATCAATGACAGAGTGCGGAAAGCCTTGATAACACTATAGCAGTATATCGGGTAGCTGTATGATTATTCTTAGAATTTCAAGTTTTCAATAAAGAATATATAAATATAACTATATTTGCAGACTTGAGAGGCACATTGCAAAAGAGGGGTGAAGACATGGCATTAAAATAGAGAAGAGTTTTAAAGGAGAAAGAAGGATCTCAAAGGGTTTGAAAGAGATGTTTTTACTCTAAAATCTGATTATAGCCCCTTCCCTACCCCAAAAACCCTTACCCATGGTTATGCGTGCATAGAAGGAAATCAAAGTTCTAGTGGCATAGCACATTATATGGCTACCATTTGCCACAGTACAGCTTCTGCATTGCCACGATTGCAATCAGCTGCTACACTGTTATAGCGTTTTACTAATAGCATTGGGATAAACATCAGCCGTATGACCATATGAAATGGAACAATGAAAAGTTTGATATACGCTCCCCAAGCACTTTACCATCATGAATCAACTGGTGCGTCAAACAAACACATCCTTCATGTGCCTACATACATATCTTGTTTTTATTTTGTCCACTACAATTAAAAAAAAAAAACTGACTACAGGGCGGCTCTAAATACACTGGTGCCCATCTTAGAAAATCCATAACCATGTATCACCAAAACCATGAATCAGGAAGAAAAAAAATCTTGCAGATCAAGAGAAGATAAATTAAGAATTGAAATGCAGTTGAAAATGACACAACAATGATACAATTAATTAGACTAGCAACTTAGCAAGTAAATTTATTTACAATTTACACTTCACAAATGCCATAATGATTGGATTCATAAGCTACAGGGCTATGGAATTTTATGAAAAATGTGTGTGCAGCCCCCTTAAATTCAGACAACCAAAGCATCAACAAATGTAAGAAATACCATGTGTGGATCCAATAGGCCATTGGGAAGAGGTTTCTGGAATTGATCATAGTAAGCACCGCGATAGACTTCAACCACTGCTGAATTCATGATTTCAGAACCGGAGAAAGTTGAAAACTTAAAACTTTTTCTGTAGGATGAAATACAAAGTTGTGATAAAGGTGGGGATTAGAGTGAGCCTAGAGACACTCAACAAAAAAATACAACATCCTATTAGAAGAACAAAAATGCATACATTTTGCGGGGACCCACATCCTCGATGTAAGGCTGTTTGGTGAATTGGATCTCTTCTCTTCTGCTCATCTTTTTTCACCAACTAATAACTGCAACACACTCAGAAGGTAACAATTTGATTATGGGAGAGAATTGAGGAAATAAATACCTCTATTTCTCCAATGATAGAGACTACGCATTTAAAAAATCATGAATAGGTTTAAGAAAAGTAAAGATCAACACAACAACAAGGAATGTTGTCAACGGCGATGGAGAAAAGGGAAAGACAAACCAGACGCGGCGATGGAGAAAAGGGAAAGACCCAAACCTGACGCGGCGATGGAGAAAAGGGAAAGGAAAGAGACGGACGAGCCAAGAGGGTTTATACTTTGCCCGACTCGTGAAAGTTCGAACATACAGAATTTATTTGAATTCTAATTTTGTATCGTGTCTGCTCCGCGTGCCTCCAAAACTGCTGTGCGCACCATCTTTTGTCAAATGTGGACAAGATTGTCCTTGATCAAAGCTCACGGAACTCTAATGCACTAGGCGCACAATCAAGCATCTCCCTTCAATAATTTTTAATTTTAATGTTATTGTTTTCTAAAAATTTGTAAAGGAATTCCCGTAGGATTACTACTTACAAGTGCACCGCCTAATAATTTGGCATTTAGGATGTTTTTACTTGGGATGTAATTTGCTGGTCTGGTCTGGTCTGGTCTGATCTGGTCTGGTCTGAACTGGTCTGGTCTGGTCTGGTAAGATCTGGTTTCTTTGTATTTTTATAACTATCCAAGTCTGGTCTGGTCTGGTCTGGTCTGAACTGGTCTGGTCTGGTCTGGTCTGGGACAAATTACAGTCCAAGTAAAAACATTCTTACTCTCCACCAATAACTTGTTGCCATGTGGCTAATTTTTCTGTTTTATAAAGTATTATAACTTTTCCAATTTTGCTCCTATTTTATAAAATTAAATATTTTTTAATGATCTTTCATATGGCACCAATAACATATATGTAAAAAAAACATTTGGTCAAGTCTATTGAGTTGTCAATTAATGTATATATACTACATAATATTTTTTAAAACTAGTCTAGTCTGATCTGGATCAAAATCAGTTCAAATAAAAAGAATCTAAATATCAATCGGGTCGTAAATCTAGTCATGTAACATACATGGTCGTAATGCAGAATCACCCTTTTTTTTGTTCTTGTAGCTTTATTTCTTTTATCTTGTTGCACCCCTGGTGCATTGACAATTTATGCAGCTCGATACTTCCCGATTTTTTCACACGCGAGAAGGACATTACCAAATAAAAGAAAAAAACATATATTGATTGTGTTTAATAAAATATATTAAACTAACATTCTAAATTATATATAGGGGCCGTTATTTTTTAAAAAGACAATTTCAATTTGAAGTGTACTTATTAGTTTGACCACATGTTTTTTTTTTATTTTTACATATATGATATTGATGTCATATGAAAGTTCATAAAAAATTATTTAATTTGATACGGAGTGTAATTTTTATAAAGATGGGAGCAAAATTGAAAAAGTTATAACATTTTATAGAAAAAGAAAATTTGGCCATGTGGTAGCAAGTTATTGGAGGAGAGTAAATGTCAAATTGTTAGGCCACATGTGATCCTACGAGAATTCTTTACAATTTTTTTGGAAACAATAACACTAAAATTAAAAATCCATGAAGAGAGATTGAGAGATGCTTGGTGGTGCGCCTAGTTGTTAAAGGTTCCGTGAGCTTTGAGTAAGGACAATATTGTCCATATTTGACAAAAGATGGTGCGCAAAACAGTTTGGGAGGCGCGCGGATCACCCTTTTGTATTCTTCAATTCTTTTTATTAGCAATCTTTAACTAATTTGAAATTTTAAGTTGACAAATGAGACATTCCAGTACTTTCACCGTACGATTTAAGGAGTGTTTGGGATTGCTTTAAAAAAGCGCTTTCTAGCTTTTGGCTTAAAAAAAGCTGAAAAGGGTGTTTTCAAATGACAACTTCTGCTTAAATTAATCACTTAAAAGCTAAAAGCTGGAAGCAGGTAGAAGGGTGCTTTAAACTGCTTCTCACTTTTTCTATTACACAAAAAGTACTTATTTTACCAAACACTACCAACTTTTACTTTTTCAGAATTACTTTTTTCTCAAACACTACCAACTTTTACTATTAATCACTTTTCCCAAAATCACTTTAAAAAATCACTTTTTTAAAGTTGAAGCAATTGCAAACACTCCCTTAATATGTTAAGTTTCGATGTTTTTCCCTTTTAATTTAGTGTAACTGAAATGTATCTCAATTTTATTAATTTTATTAATTATGTCATTTGAAAATTGATTGATTGTGCGGAGTTTTTGGTATCACAAAAAAATAGATTGAATAAGATGGATCTGCTGAACTTGGTGAAATTCTGACTGAAGTGGTTAAGCCGACTAAATCTGCTAAACTATGTAAAACTATATCTTCTCTATTTTCTAGACGCAATACTCTCATTTTCACATTTGTCAACACATGACTTTGACTCCTGATACATTTGTTCATCTAATAGTAAAAAATAAAAATAAAAGACGTGTTCCGTCACAATGAGACGAGCTTGGGAATGTTTTCATTAAATTAAATTCTCATATATTAAGAATAAAATGTAGTCAAATTAGAACATGAGAAAACTATAAAAATAATTTCAAATAAGGAAAATATTTATATGATAGCCAAAACAATAATTTCAGAGATTCAGTCAATATAGTCATAAAGGTAGATTCCATCTTGCTACTTTATTTTTTATATAATTCACGTGAAATCAAAAGGTACTTATTTGACAAAAGAGGATGATTGATAAGACTAATCATATAGACTAGAAACTGCTCTCTTCAAAAATAATTTGTTGTTCATATTATTTTATTAACATTAGAATCTGCTAAAATTGGTGAAGCTCGGGTTGAAGCAATTGAATTGTTCAAATTTGCTAAAAAAATCATATTTGTACCTTATTAGTAAAATAGAAACAATTACATAGAAGCCAAAAATTTTAAATTACACAGAAGCCAAAAATTTTAGCGAGCATGTCACATGCTCCTTATGGAGCACGTACTCCATGTTAGACACGGCTCCCACGTTAATTAATTAATGACATCACTTTTAATTAGATTTTATAAATAAATTAAAATAGAATTTGGATGCCGCACGCTACTTCTCAAAAAGAGGGACTCCCATTCTTCTACACCTAAACCACTGCAGCAGTACCGCTTATTTGCACGCTACATGCTACCCGAAGAAAAAATCTTTCATTCTTCTGCATCCTAAACTGTTGAAAGGTACAAACTACGAAGTATGGAGTACTGTATGATTTATCAATCTTTTTATTCAATCATTATATTTATGAAAGTAAATAGTTAATATAATTAATTTATCAATACATCCACAATTTTGTTATACTTGCCGCAGAGGTTATATATTGTTATTCAATTGTCTCTATGCAGGTGTTCAAGAGCAGAACGAAAGTAACTCATGGTCAACGACAGCGTACTACCTACTGATGTAGATATTCTCAATATTTCATCACCGAATATACAATCGGATGAAGGTTTTTATCTTAATTTTAATTCGATAAATGTGTTTCTTAATATACTATTTTTTTTTAAATTTTTGTTACATATAGCACACCAAAAAACTCTCTAATATTTTCGTATGTTGCGACATTGAGATTATTTGTTCTTTTATGTCTTTTAAACCCAAATAAAAAAACTACACTTTAATTCAATAATTGTTATCACAACTTATTTATATATAATAATGGCAGGTCAAAGTAGACTAAACCATATACGAGTATTAACATATTGTGTATGTGTTTGTAGTTTTTAATTTACTATTATCTATGGTCTAATCTTTTAAATGTATTGTGTGTGCATTTTACTATGGTCTATGTATGATTTGATCTGGTCTGCTTAAGTCTGGTATGATATGTTAGATGTATTGTTTTTGTGTTTTTATTACTAGTTGGCATTTATGGTCCAATCTGATCTGTTTAATTTTGACGTGATCTAATAAACGTATTGTGTTTGTGTATTAGCTTTAATTTTGTATGGTTTGACCACGTCTTGTCCTAAAATAGTCTAATTTAAGAGTCTTTAATTCCGTTTACTAATTCAAGATTCTATGTAATTTTAATTTGTCTTTCAGATCTTTACTTTGAGGAAACACCTAAATTAGGCCAACAATTTCATTCGCTAGATGATGCTCAGGCTTTCTATAATGCATATGCAAAGCTGCTTGATTCAGCACTAAAATAAAAAATTCAACTGTTAATAAAGCTGGAGTTACAACATGGAGAGCATTTACATGCTCCAAAGAAGGCCGAACAAATTTGTCTTCAAAGAAGAAAACCAAATTTGTCTTCGAAAGAAATAGGGGCCAAACTAGGTGTGGATGTCTTGCTAAGATGCATGTTTCGAGAAATCGACAAAGCGGATTGTGGGTTGTGTCACAATTCGAGAAGATCCATAATCATGACCTTGTTAGTCCTAGTAAGACACACTTGCTTCGTTCTCATCGAGAAGTGTCAGCTTCGAAGAGAGTATTGATGAATGAGTGGGGAGAAGCAAATATTGAGACACATACCCAAATTCGTTTGTTGGAGAATGAAGCTGGAGGCCTATCTACGATGGGGTGCACGGAGACTGATATATATAATTACAATGCCTCATTGAAATCCAAATTTAATGGGATTGATGTGCAAACAATGATTCATGGATTTCAAACTGAAAAACATAGGAATTGTGACTTCTTCTACAAGTTTGAGATTGATAGTGAAAAGGTTCTTACTAGATGCTTCTGGGCCGATAGTGATAGTAGGAATGCATACTCATTTTCAACGAAGTGGTTGTATTTGATACAACATTCAATACGAACAAATATGGATTTTATCTTGCTCCAATCGTTGGTGTTAATCACCATCGTCAAACTACTGTGTTTGGTTGCGGTTTGCTAAGTGATCAATCGACTGAGTCATTTTCTTGGCTTCTATCAAAGTTCTTAGAAGCTATGGATCCTATACCCCATCCAAAGGTAATAATAACTGATCAGGATGCAGCTATAGCTCGAGCAGTGGCTGATGTATTACCAAATGTATCACATCATCATTGTTTATGGCATATACTTAAAAAATTCCCTGAAAAGATGAATGTCTCTAGCTCTGCATATACTGAACTCCATAAAGAATTAGTTGATATTATTATGAGTTCACATAGCACAAGTGATTTTGAGCAACGGTGGACTGAGAAACTTTTGTTGCCAGAGTTGAATGAAAATAGTTGGCTTGCTGATATATATGAAATTCGTATGAAATGGGTTCCCTGTTTTGTGAAACATGTTTTTTGTGCTGGAATGTTAAGTAGTCAACGTGTTGAAAGCACACATGCTTTTTTTAAAAAGTATGTTAACAAGAAGTGCACCGTGAGCCAGTGTGTGACACGTATTACTCGAGCTATTGTGAGACAGAGGCATAGAGAGCTTGTTGCTGATCACCGCGATCGAAATGAAGTTCCCCAGGTGAAATCAAGTTATTTAATGGAACGACAAATGGCTGGAATATATACAAAGGCAATTTTTCTTAAGTTCCAGAAACAATTTGATGAGTGTGCTCTTTACACTTGCCACCTGATTTCTAGCTCTGTTGAAACTAAGATCTATGATGTTAAGAAATGTGATATGGATTTGACTTACAGCTCTACGACACACAAGCTTACATACGACATATCCTCAGATTTTGTTTCTTGCAGCTGTAAAAAATTTGAATTTATGGGGATTACTTGCCGCCATATTCTCACATGGATGAGGCTTGAGCAGGTGTTGTTATTGCCAGAGAAATATATTCTTCATCGTTGGACAAAGAAAGCAAAGGTAAACCCTATTTATCAGCCTGCAACTGATTCATTTGTTGGTAAGAAATTATGGACAAGGCGGGTCAAGCTAAGGTTGTCTGCTTTCAAAGTTGTTGACATGGCATCCTTAACTGAAGAACGAAGCAACTACTTCGCAGGGGTCTTGAAGGGTGCTATGGATCACCTTGCACATATGGACGATGGGGGGATGGATGCAAGTCATCCATCAACATCGTCTTCCCACTCACCAAAACTTTATGTGAAAGATCCGAAAATTAAAAAAATTAGAGGTTCAGGTTCACGCCTTAAACACCCATCTGAAAAGGCTAGACGTTGTACAAAATGCAAGAAGAGTGGCCATAATGCTAGATCATGTCAAGCTTCACACCTGGAGAGGTGAAAATATGAATTTGTATTGAATATTTTACATTTGATTAATCAATCATTTTATTCATGTATATTCCATATATATAGTTTAAAATATTCAATATAGCAGTAACATGTGTCATTGTCATTGCAGGTCTCAAAATTGTAATCAACAATTTGATCTAAATCTGCCAGATTTAGAAGGTTGAAGCATGATCTAGAAGTATTTTTGTTATTGCAGACTGGAAACTCAAATTTTGTATCATGATACTACGTTGTTGATATTATTTAACTCTTGTGAGATGAAATTTATTGATTGTTTCCTGTTATTGGTTATGAGTTATTATCACTTACAATAACTAATATGGGATTACCAGTAAATCAAACTGCCCTTCCCAAATGATTGGATGCTTGGTTATTTTTTGAGTTATTGTCCTCCTCTGCATGTTTTGTTGTCATATTTGAAATCTAGCTGACATAATCTGGTCCAAATAGAATATATAGTTCTGAGATTCAATTTGTATACTTAATAAACAAATATATTCAGATCATCTTGTTGAATGCGAACATGGATCTGGATAAACTGTGCATGGATCAAGTACGATTAAACTAACTGAGCTGACCTGCATCTACAAACCAATTCATATAACAGTGAAGTGTTTTCGCTATTTTCATAAGTTGATGGTTTCAAACTCTCTGGGTTGTCTCTTTGTATTTCCTCTATGGCAAGAATACATGGTTTCTTTCTTCTTGGTTCAGTTTGACATATCATCTACTTTGCAATTAAATTTTTGACTGACATGCATCACTAAAACTCCTTTAATAGCACTCCCCCAACTCAATCATAAACTACATATTCCATGGGATTAAATGTATGTAACTAAAATTAAATATAACATATCTTTGTTTTCACTTTTCATTAGCTAAATAAGTTTTGAGTCACATAATCTGCAGATCACATCTTTAGCAATTGAATCACGAAAGGTAGAATTGTGTATACATTAAAGCACAAGACGATTAGCATCACATCATACCGTTTTAATAAATGCAAAAAAATGCAAAGCCAATTACAAAAAAACTCTACGCATCTTCAAATTAATCAAAAGAAAAGATGCAGTACGTAGAACCAGTTTTTTTGCGCCATAACTAAACCTAAAGTCAAAGTGTACACATGTGCTCATCACAAATGCTCTAATTATCTCATGGTTTCAATTAAAAAAGTGTTATTTACACAGAGCAATGCAAGTACACAAGAATTTGTTCACAAACTAGTAGGAAGAGAATTAAAAACATTTACAAAAAACAGGAAAGTAGATTATCAATTGCTGATCATATATCGTTTCAAAAAACTACACATACCAAAGCTCCCAATGTTCGATTTTCCTTCAGAAATTACGCTTAAGGGGATTTTTTTTCTCAAAAAACGTTGCAACAATCTGACCTGGCTAGAGAGCCATCCTAGTTCACGACAGAGATCAGAGAAGAAATCTGCAAGCAGAGTCGGCGGCTTCACTGTCTGGCATCGATGCGACGATGCGTCCGGCGGCGTATAAAATTCTTGGAGGCATCTACCTCATCTCGACCACAAGCAGAGTCGGCGGCTTCGCTATCTGGCTTCAATGCGTACGGCGGCGTGAAATTCCGGGTGGCATCTACTTCATCTCTACCTTTGTTCCCCCCGCTCATCAAGTTGGTCTTGGTCGGAAAATATATTCCGGCTGAATAGATAGGGAGAATATGTGGAGATGAATGTTTAGATTTAATTTTAGAGACAGAAATGTCAGTACGTTGTACGTGTATTATCTGTTAAACCGATTTAATTTAAATTAAGTGCCACGTGGAATAGCGTGCACGTTAATGAGCATGTCACGGGCTCGATAAAATTTCTGACATAGAAGCACTACTATACACTCGGCAGTCCATAGAAGGAAAAGAACAAACCATATTAATTAAATGATGATAATATATAATAGTATGATGTACATGATGTGGCCAAACTAGTGGCGATTTTGAACTCCTATGACGGAAAATTCTACGGCGGCGGTAGAGCCGCCTCCACCACCAAATGCTTGGGCACGTAAATCTTCTGCAGAGGTTGTAGGAGGACAGGGATCTATCTCGGCAGATCTATCAAGATTGGGGGGTGCCCTCAATTTCATTCTCAGAAGGACATGTAAAGGTTTTGGCGGAAAATCATACTCGTGATTTGGTAGGTTACTTTTTTAAGGGTAAACCTTCACTTACTGTGATTCGTAAGTCCTTTGAGATAATTGGATTTAAGGGATCATTTCATTTGGGTGTTTTGGATAATAAACATGTTGTTATCCGATTTGCTTTGGAGGAAGACTTTCTGCGTTGCTCGACGAGGCAAACTTGGGTTATTCACGGTCATGTTATGTGTGTTACTAGGTGGGCACCAAACTTTCGTCCTAATGTGGAATCTTCACTAGTTCCGGTATGGATTGCTATGGAGGGACTTCCTTTACATTTGCAGGATAAAAGAGCCTTGCTACAAATTGCAGGATTGATTGGAAAACCTCTTAAAATTGATTCGGCAACTGCAAACCTCTCTCGGCCTTCGGTTGCAAGGGTATATGTTGAATTCGATTTAATGAAGGAAATGCCTCAGAAAATTTGGATTAATAGCGGTTCCTACGGTTTTTTTCAAAATTTTATCTATGAGAATAGTCCGGAATACTGTTCTGCATGTCTACACTTAGGACATTCTCATCCTAAATGTCCTAAGAGGGCTGGGGAACAACCTGCTATGATTGAGCTGCCTAAGGACAGATTGGTCCAGTCTAAGAAGGTTGGGGAACAGCCTAAGTTGATTGAGTTACCCAAGAATAGATGGGTTCAAAAACAGAATAATAATAAGCAGGGAGCTCAGGAAAGGAAATTCACATAGGAAGAGAAAGGGAAGGGGATTATTATAAATGCTTCAGAAAAACAATCAACTTCAATTTATAAGGATGGTCAGGTTGTCAGTGATTCCGAGGGAGAGGAGGTTTTCTTGGACTCGGTAGCGCAACCAACTGTAGAGGAAGTTCCTAGTCTTTCAGTTTTAGCACCTAAGGATATCATTCAGGCCAAAGACGATGCTCACATCTCTCAGTTACAGCAGATTATTGATAAGGACCCTCCATTACACAGCAAATAATATCATTCATATGGTGAGCTTGGTAAAAAAAGAAACTAGTCCTGAAAATATTGAAGAACTTGATGCAACAATTATTGGAATCGGGGATATTGTGGCAAAAAGAATTGATGCAGCAGTAGAAACTATCCAAGAAATCATCTCACCAGAAGCAATTCAGTCTGATGTTTGAGAGGACAGTGGATCATTACTTTATACAGAGCAAACAACCACTCAACCAAAAGATTTTAGAGGATATTGGGCCCTCTCAGCCTATTATTCAAGAACCTGATCCACCCCCTACATTTCAACATGATGCTCATCTTGCAGCGAGAGGGATTGGTCACTCAACTGTTCAATGAATTGCTTGTTTTGGAACACTAGGGGTTTGGAATCCTCCAGTTCCAGACTTAGTTCCCTAGTTCAACAGTGGAGGTTGGTTTTATTAGTGAGTATTGAGCCCATGGTGGATTGCTCTAAAATTCATCATTATAAAAGTATTTTAGGCTTCATTGATACAATTTCTTCTCCAAACACCAAAATTTGGGTTTTCTGGAAGAAAGATTATTTACAAGTTAGTCAGGTTCAGTGGCATACTCAATTTGTTCATTTTAAGGCTGATGGCAGCTTGTACAAGGGTTGGGTAACAGGAATTTATGGTAAACACAATTATATTACTAGAAGAGATCTGTGGAATTCTCTTATATCCATTTCAGCTAATATGTGAGAACCATGGTTTATAGGAGGTGATTTTAATGAAATTGCACAACATAGTGAGCACAGAGGGAATTCCTTACCTATTTTGAGAGGTGTGAATGACTTTACTGGTTGTATTGCTGCATGTGAGCTGATTGATTTGCCTTATGCTGGACCTAAATACTCATGGACAGGGGTTAGAACAAATGGCAGGGTTTGGAGAAGACTGGATAGGGTTTTGTTTAACAATACTTGTATTGATTATTTTGATCACATTTAGGTGTCTCGTCTTAATAATTCCCCTACAGATCATAATCCTATCCTTTTACAGTGCTCTAATAAAAACTTTTGTGGTCCCAAAGCTTTCAATTTTCCAGAATATGTGGTTCTCTAAAAACACATTCTTGGATTTTGTAAAAACTAAAATGGCAGTTCTATGAATATGGAGGAGGTATGAGAGGGCTAGTTCATAAACTTCAGTGCCTAAAAAGGATCTTAAAATATGGAACAAAGAAGTCTTTGGGAACATATTTGATGACATCCGATTTTGTGAGAATGAAGTTCTTTTGGCAGAAAAAGATTTTGAGGAGATCCCTGGAGAACATACTAAGGAGGATTGGGCTCACAAAAAAGGTTTGCTGTTGCAAAAATACAAGATTGAAAGGAAATTTTGGAAGCAAATGCTCACATTAAATGAATCAAAGAGGGGGGTTATAATTCCAAATTCTTCCATTCATTTGTTAAAATTGAAACAAACAATTACTTCCATTAAAGATCAGGCTGGGAACGTTGTTACTTCCCCTAATCAAATTGGTGAGGCTGCTATTGATTTCTTCAAGAACTTGTATGTTGTCCAGAGTAATGTTTCCCACATTATTTTTGCAAAGGTGATGCGGCAATCAAGTATCATCCACAAAACACATTTTTATTTGAGATGATTTTTCTACGTTTTTACTTTAATATTCTGCAAATAATGTTTTTAAATACTAATATATGTTCAGGTATTTGAAGCTAAAGATTGCTCTTACGTTCTTACCAATTGTACCAATTGTTATCGCTAATGAAACATGTGACAATCCATTTTATTGTGAAGAAGCTCTTGCTTGAATAACATTTTTTGTTAAGCGCAGGAGCAGGTGAAGGCGTGACACTGATTGAAGGTCCCTAGGGTGGTAGATGTAAATTTTTAGGCAACAATTGGAATTCGAAAAGTCAAGTTTAGTACATTAGTACTCTGTACTTCATATGCAGTTTTTATTGCATCTTGAAATGAGATTATGAAAAGCCACATATGTTTGAGTGGCTCTCTGGATTCGAAAAGCCAGTCTGAGCAAGTGGCAACGCATTTAATATATCTAATTGTTGAACATTTTATTGGCAACATATTATTATTATTATTGTTATTATTATTATTATTGTTATTATTGTTATTGTTGTTATTATTATTATTGTCATCACTTTAATAAATGTTTTGTCAACAATTCAACATTGTTTGGGAGTAGTATGTCAGATATTTTTAAATGGCTAGACAAAGTGCCATTAGTGTGCTAAATCCTTTAACAAGAAAGGATAATTTCTTATTGTTAGAGAAATATCTTCAAAATTGGTGGAAATCAAAGGTTCATACATAAAACTGCTGTTGTGAAGGCACTAAGGCAGTCCTCAACGCCAAACAATTAACTGAATTAAGCATGAATTCCGAAAAGCAAAACTATGATCATCTTTAATCTTCATAAAAAAAAAATCCAAGAATTGGAGAAATATATATTTAGATTCACCTGAACGGCTTAACCCAAAACGTTGCTCATATGATATAAATAAATGCTTCTCTCATACGTAGTGTAACAATATGGTAAAGTGATGTTGCTCGCATAATCCACATTCAATGTTCTAAAAACTACAGATTGCGCAATTACAAAATTCAAATAAAAAGAGCAGCCTCTAGTTGCACGCACTTATGTAGCAAATGATTTTTACCTCGGGACAAACATAAGTCCAATGTCATTGGTAACTGGTAAGTAATTGTGGTCCTTGTGGATGCTAGGAGTCTGCTCAATTCAAAATTGGTTCTGGTCCATAATTCAGCTCCACCGGCTCAGAAGTGCTGCAGAACGGGAAAAGGACATACTGGTCACATAGGTATTACTGTCACTATGTACCTCTAAACAAGACACCCGCACTATAAGATGTCAGCAAAACAGGAGTTACTTTATTGTTTTTAAGAAGGTGTTCCGTTCGTCTTAATCTTATTACTTATTCCTTAATCTTATTTTATTCAGATCAGATCAGATCAGAAACATTCAGATCAGATCAGAAAGATTCAGAACAGATCAGAAAGATTCAGATCAGATCAGACCAGATCAGAAACATTCAGATCAGATCAGATCAAAAAATTCAAACATGATTTATCACTTTTATTATTATATTAATTATGATTATTATATTATTGTTATTGTTAATAATATTAATATATTCATATAATAATATTATTAATAATAATATAATAATAATGTTAATAATATAAATATTATTAATATATTATAATAATATAATATAATATAATATAATATAATATAATATAATATAATATAATATAATATAATATAATATAATATAATATAATATAATATAATATAATATAATATAATATAATATAATATAATATAATATAATATAATATAATATAATATAATATAATATAATATAATATAATATAATATAATATAATATAATATAATATAATATAATATAATATAATATAATATAATATAATATAATATAATATAATATAATATAATATAATATAATATAATATAATATAATATAATATAATATAATATAATATAATATAATATAATATAATATAATATAATATAATATAATATAATATAATATAATATAATATAATATAATATAATATAATATAATATAATATAATATAATATAATATA